TCTCAAAAATGTCGATTCTTCTAAGAAATAAATAAAATGAAAGCAACATAAGAGAAGATGCAGTTCCATTTTCCATCTTCCATGAAAGAGAGATGATCATCATCTTCCCATTAACTACTGTGGGACTAAAGCTCACGAAAAGACAAAAGAGTTTCCATTTCCATACATCCATATCCACTATGTACCCAAACAAAACACTCATAATCAGATACCCACCAGACATGATAATGGTAGTGTAACTGATTCAGAGTTGCATACAAAAAACCCAGACAGACAATACACCTAAGTGAGCTAACTTATTTATGAGACAGGGATATTCTATATAAAGAGCAGCAGGATCATAGGGCTTTCCATGTTTTTTATTGAAGCCCATATAAAGAGAGCTGCTTTACTTGCTAAACTTCTACAGCCACACACAAGGACAAAAAGAACAATACCCAAGTAAAAGAAAGTTCCGGCTGGCTTCAGCGTTACCATTTTCACTTTTGCTGTTTTACTGGAACCAGATTGAAACATCCTGCCCCCGCATGCTGTCCATCCCGACTTCTTGAAGATCTTCCTTGTAATCGAAAGAAGACAGATTGAATGGAGACCCAAACATAAATGGGAGGTTGTTATTATGGTTGGTCTCGAACGGAGAATTAGAGCTCTTAAACCTGTCAAATTGACCTTCCCCTTGTGGAACCATTTGATGATTGTTGGGAATGCCAGATTCCTCGAAGAAGTTTCCTTCCGTCATAACTCCTTGACCGTGAAAGTATCCATCCTGTTGCTGTTGAATTTTCTGCTGAAGAATATTTTGACCTTCCATAACCGGATTGTTACTCGGGTTCATGTTCTTGTTGCCTTGAATGTTGTCATCGTATATCGACATGAGTTCACTGATCATTTTCTGCCCATCTTCAGGAACTCCAAGTTCTGAAAGATCAAATGTTGAGACAGAAGTAGATGCCACAGGAGCGGTTGGCTTCGATTGCGCAAATGCTTGATGGAAAATCACTGGTTTCACTTCATTAACATTGAAATTTGAAACACCAAACAGTGCAGAGGAGTTTCGATACGGACAAGTTAATTGATGATTATCCCTGGCACTCCGGTCATGAAAACCCAATCGAATTTCACTATAGGGACATTGGAGGAACTCGCAGGTGTAGATCTTGTGTTCCACCATGTTTAAATCATTGCATGATTTCCTCTTTCGATCCACTCCAAAATCAGACGAATTAAGATTCCCGGGTTTAACATCTTGCACATCAAAGTTTGGCTCGTCTTCAGCCCCTTCAATATCGTACTCACTGCAGTCGTTTATAACCAAAGACCCACTTCCTCCACCCGAGGACAAAGGTAGACAGGACTCGGGGTACAGCTCTTGAGCCAAGGCCTCCTCCTGGTTAATGATAGCAAGCCAAGTTGCGCTTTCCTTTGCTGTCATTTTGTCCTGCAAACACTTGGACTGTCTCACAAGTTTGCGAATCTTGGCTATATCGGGAGATATATGATTGATTACTGCAGTGAGAACCCCAACTTTCCAAGCCTTCTTCAAGTCATGAGGTTTCTTATAAGGAGGAGGACCTTGGTCTTTAGGCAATCTGAGATGCGGCCACCATTCCTCCTTTCCAGTAGGCCACCACGGCGGGTGAATACCTTTCTCTAAAGGAAACCGCCTCTGAGGAGGATCACAATGCTGCATCAGCGCAGACAAAAGAGAACCGAGAGTTGTATCTTGAAGTTCTTGCAAGGTATGGGTGTTGGACCAATCGAGTTACACCCATTATTGTTGCCAGGAATTGAATTATCAGCCTGGTACTTGGCAATAGCAGCGGGACCATTACGATCAAACCTAACTTTATCCTTCCACCATTCCCGAAGATTATCAGATGCCCCAGTCACCGGCCTTCCTTTCTCCGGAATAATCCCATAAACAAAACCTTGAGCCTTGCACACTTCCATCATCTTCAACATGTACTTCAATATCCCATCATGCGCCCTCGACATCTTCTTTTTCCTCGCCTGTTCTTGAGACTGTCGCTGTTTCGCAACATCGGCCACCCCCTCCTTGCTCTTGTTCTGTTCTCTAAGTCGCTTGAGACGCATTTTGTCCCTCCACATCCTCCTCTCAAGTTCATCCACATCAATATCCTCGTCACTATAATCATCTTCCACCGAGGCCTCCGGTTCAGTATGCGAAGCCACCATGGCTCCCGCCGCAACCGCCACATCTTTTTCCCCAAAGGGAGCACTGAAGAAATCCATATCCCCACAAATCGCCATATCATCAAACATCATCATTATTCCAACATATAACTTCAAATCACCCACAAAGATGCCTCTGCTAACCTGTATTAATAATAAATTGGTTAATAAAAACCCAGCTGATACTCATACAAGTCGAGATCTCCAGGCAATTATTATTTGAAATTAAAAAAAATCAGATATAAATTATAATCAAGACCTCAATTTTATCAATCAACAATCAAAACCCAAACAAATTATGAAAATCCAAATCGAAGAACATGCAAGCAATTAAAACCTCAACAGTATCAACCAATAATCAAAAGGAAATCCAGAAGAAACCCAACACGGAAAATTACCCGGAGGGCCAAAACAGAAATCAGAACTCGAATACTTATGGATCAATATCAAAACCCATATCAGAAAAAAGTAGTATAAAAAACCCAGAGAAAGTACCGGGAAAAAAAAAACTACATGCATATAGATCCACTCAACCATATCTTAAAAAAACATACCTGGAAAAACCCAGACTTTGGCTTATTCCACAAAGCTGAGAGCAGTGAACTCTGCAACACCAGAAGATTTTCAAGGGAGAAAATGAAAAGGAGGGGGGAGGGGAGAGAGGGAAAAGGAATATTATCCCTTTAGTTAATCAAGTTGAAACTTTTGTACTAAATATTATTAAATAGATAGGGGAGGAGAGAGGATGGTGGCTACTTGTCTTTCCTGTTGGTGATGGAAGGATACATAGGTTAGAAAGAGGAGAAGCTGTGAGAATTATTGAGGAATTGTAGAATGAAATTAAAATGTCACGCAGCTGGGAGCACAGAGACTTCAAATTTTTATGTTTATTTTCATTTTTCAAAGGAAGGAGTGAAAATATAGGAAAGTAAACAAACGTCAGGTTTATCCAGTCTGATTGCTTCTTCAGACAAAAACAAGGCCTTTTTTCTATAAATAAATAATTCTCTTATAATATATATATAAGGTTAAATATCTTTTTTGGTCCCTTTACTTTTAAAATGACATTAGTTGATCTGAATTAGGCTCGTAAAGAAGGGGCCAAGCAAGCCACTGCCCCCCTCTGTATTTTCTTTGAATTTTTTTTATGATTTTTATGCTTAAAATAGTAAAAATATATTTTAGTCTTAAAATTTATAAATTTGAATAATTTCTCTCTCAACTTCTCCTACATAAAATTCTAGACTTCAATTAGATAAATAATGAAAATTGGATTACCCTATTTTAATTGAAATGTTGATTTTTTTTTAAATAATCTAACTCGTCATGATAATAGATCAAATTTTCATCCATTATTTTCCTATATAAATTAAATCAGCATTCGTCACTATCATAATTTTCATAATTTATAAGTAACTTATATATGTGTGTGTGTGTGAGAGAGAGAGAGAGGTAACTAGTGATAGTATAAATGCAGAATATCAAATTAAAATATAAAGATGAAATTTCAAATTCGAGTACAATAGATGGACTAAAATTATAATTTGACCAAATGTATTTTATATGGCAGCGCGGAGCTGCCTCCAATTATTTTAGGCTTTGAGGAGAGATTGGTTTCACATTATCCAATGTTATCTTTTGTAAAGGAGGATATTTTATTTGATGGTTAATTTATATTTATTTAAGGAATATGTTGAAGTATAAAAAATAAAAATATTTTTATAATTAAATTAATATCTGAATAATTAAGTAAATAAAAATATAGATATTATTTTATTATTAAAAAATAATATATTTTTTGTATATTATATGAATATATTATCGCATTTTATGAAAAAAAATACTTGAACTTTATTCCAAAAATATCAAAAAAATATTAGTATATATTTTTATTTTTTAAAAATATTTTGACTTTTAACATTTAATATAAGGACAAAAAAAAATTCTAATACTTAACTAAATAGTCATCTTAACCCATGGAAATACTCCTGTCGCAGCGATGGTGCTCGAAACCTTCCGGTCTCAGCAACAGAGCCACCAAAGCAGGTGGCTACGGGACGAGAACCCGTCACCAAAACAGTCTAAGTTCGCATCATTAACCATGTCCTTAATCGCTTCCAATACTTTCTTCAAAAGCGAACCTTGATCTAGCCTAAGCTCAAGCATTTTTGAACCTTTTTCTCCTTCGATTGCTTTTCTTTGGGACAAGTTATGTAACTTGACAATGAATATATGTAATACATAATTTTTTTTAAAATGATACATAAAACAATACACGTGTTGTAATAATTTTAAAAAACCATGCAACAAAGTTTTCTGTTCAAATCTAGAGAGTATTTATATAATTGGTATGGTTTTTTGCCAACTTTTTAGCTCAGGCATTTTCATAGCCAAGCAGTGCTTTAACTCACTGTTACTGTTTATAGATAGAAAAAAAACCAGAGCATCAACATAAGACCAGAAACAAAACAGCAAAGAAACAAAGCAGAAAACCAGATCAACAACATAAATGGAGGCTCCTGAAATGACTGAAATAGTTTGCAACAAGAAGTCAATAACTAGAGATGACCAGACCAGAGCATAAACCAGAAATAACCCGACCAAAGAAACTGCAACAACAAACATTAACAGGAGATGACCCATCCTAAAAATCTAACCAACAAAATCAAATGACTTTAAAACTTTATCAAATTGCCCGAATTAAAACCAACTCGACCCGCCCAATCAACATATCTAATTAACAACGATGGCAGATGCATGCTTTAAATCTAGAGATATTCTAAACTGGCATGAAAAAGGATGTCAAATAAGTGGGAACCTATCTTAAGGATGCACAACAGGAGTAAACATGTCGCTACTATTACATCAAATACTAGTTTATCTAGTACATCTTAGGAAAGAGCGTGATAGTTTCAGTTACAAATGCTAATAAATTTTGATTTACAGATACTTATACGAGGGATTGCATTTCACAAACCTCATTATTCATTGTGATAATCCACTTAAAATCTTATGAGTACACAACTAATTCCAAGCTTTGTAGCATCACTTTGTTCTTCAAGAGCAGTTTGTGTCATAACTAGCAAGCCCCAACAACTCCGGACCTTCGAGTCGAGGGTTTTTCTCAAAGCTATACAATTTGGAACGATATGATCAGTGACTTTGCATACAGGGAAAACAAAGAAATGAAACTTAAAATGGAGAACAAAAACCAAAAAACCCATGAATCAAAAGATTTTGATGGGGCATGCTTTAAAAGGACTTAATGTAAGAGATGGAATGAGGGATTGGTGCACAATCGAGAAAAAATGTCAATAAGGCATAGTTTACCCAAAGGAAATGGCCGTAGAATCTATCAAGACAAGAAGAAAGAAGGTGCCATAAGATATATAATTGCAGCAAAACATGCAGATACGTCTAGGCTCCATGTAAACAATCATTATCAGGGACTTGATCAAAACTTATAAAGCAAATAAAAGAAGAGGGGTGAACTTACTTGTTCAGAGGAATGTGTTCAAATGGTCCACTGGTAGGAATTGTTCCACACAAATCATTGTTCGAGACATCACTAAAAGAAAGAAGGTAAATGTTTTGATAACCACAAGTTTAATGCTTTGAAAACAATACCAGAGATTTGTGTTTTACAAATAAACTATTCGAAAAATTGCAAGACTTACACAACTTTGAGGCTTGAAATCCCAACAAGTTCCCTAGGGATAGGTCCAGTTAATCTGTTGTCATTAATTCGCCTGTAAAATGGAGCAAAAATGAGAGAGAGGTCAGCGATTGGATTTTTTGTGTGCAAAGGAAGCCAAAGCCTAGGGGAAATCGGGGGAGCAGAAATTAGAAGTGCCAAGGATCAAACTCTAGCCTTGCAGGAATCCAACTCATAAGAGAGGATGATGAACCATTTGGGTTGAGCCCCAGGTTCAAAGACCAGTGATTGGATATTACAATGATATAATTGGAATATAATGAACTTATATGAAGTAAATAAGAAATGAAAAATGACTAGTATTCCAGTTTTGTGACACGAGATAATTAGGAATGGAGTAATCATGGTGGCACAAAAGAAACTAGGAACACAAATAGATAAAACCATTATCTGATGCCCATAGTTTAGTTAAGTCCCAAATAATTTATTATCAAATCCATCATTGATTTTTCAAGTCAAGCTCATAAGGGAAGGCAACTGTGAGAAATAAAATCTTTTTGACAGTCTAATCCTTCATGAAGAGGTAAACATTGGACTCGAACACTCACAAGAATACTAGAGACTTCAGTTTCCCAACGGAAGGAGGAATGGTGCCGGAGATGTTGTTATTATATAAGTCCAAACTAATAAGGCTCTTCAAGTTACCAAGTTCTGTAGGGATGGTTCCTTGGATGTTATTTTTGTAAAGCTCTCTGCATTGCAGAAAAAAGTCCAAAATAAATAACAATGGTTGAATAATCAACAGTTGTATCCAACAAGTAAACATTTATACAAAGACAATAGAACTCCGTTATGCAGATGTTAAGTGGAGTGAGAAAAAAGTTCGAGAGAAAAGTAGAACATACAGATATTGCAAATGCTCAAGCCTCCCAAGCTCGGGTACCAAATGCCCAGATAGGTTTGAATTACCTAAATCTCTGTAAAAAGGGAAAGAAAAAGTAAACCACAAGAGGTTGGCCTCAAAACTAATCATAAATTTAACAATTTAGAAACTACAACTAAAATTGTATACTCAAAGCCATCAAGCACACAAATGCACCGTTTTTATGTCGATTAAACATGTTCTTCCAAAAGGAACATGCAGACCATAAGCACATCTAGAAAATCCTGGAACTTCGACAAAAGAACAGACTCAAACATGATACAATGCTCCAAATGGAGTCAATTCTGCAACTCTTTTCAATTCAAACAGAACTATGTAAAAGAAATAGTAAAGTAATTCAGCTTATAACAGCCTAACACGATAATTCCTATATAAGAGACTCGAACCTCCACAGACATAAGCATTAAAACACTATTTAGAACCTAATAATCCAGATTTTTTCCACCATGTTTGCACTCCTTAGATAACTGTTTATAAGAAAAACACAAGCTCGAATATTATCCAACAGTTTTTCAGTGAATTCACCTACTTTCCGTTTCCTCCCAAAAATTGCCATAAAAGCCCATAACTATGCGAAGTAATCCAATAAGGAAATCAATTAAAGGAACCCAAACCAGTTCTCAATCCAAGCAAGTATCACCCAAAAAAAATGAAGAATTACAATCTCAGGTAATTAAACAGTTTCGCAGTAAACTTACAATCACCATCCCATAAGAAAAAAATAAACAATAAATACAATTAAATAAACCAAAATCCAATTTAAACGATTTATAATGCTATCGCACAATGAAAACTAAGCCCTCTCCGATTAAAAAAAAGTTTTTTTAAAGCATATAAATTAATGAACCCATAATCAAAACCTACCAGATCTTCCAGGAAAACAAAAGGAGAGGGAGAGAAAAATAGCATACACTCTAGTGACACGATTATCTTGATTGCAAGTGATATGGAACCAAGTACAGGGATTAACAAGGGTGGGATCCCAGCTCTGGAGCACGTTATCGGGATCCGTTAGGCTTCTTCTCAAAGTGTAAAGAGCGTCGCCTTCAGAGTTTCCGAAAACACAAGGAAGAAGTGTTATGGCTACAGAAAAAGCCCATGCCCAGATCGGTGCCGCCATGGGTGATGTTAGTAGCAGGCTTGTAGCTGCTGTGTTAGGATTAGGTTTTTATGCTATGAGAAAAGTAGAAGAAAAAAATTAAAAAGCAAACTTGTTCACGCTTCTAAGATTCTATTACTTTGATCAAATTTCTAAAGTAGAATCGGCTTTGGAAATAGCAACGACAAATATGGACCTCTTTAGCTTTTGCTGGTTTTTACGTCGGAGAAAATAAATTTATAAAATAATATATATTTAAAAATTTTAATTAATTGATAATAAATATATATACATCTTTCGATATAATTATTTAAATTTAAAATTTAAAATATAGAAATAACATTATGTATTATCATTAAAATCATTTAATAATTTATATATATAGATATGATTAGCCCACAGGAGAAAAGGAAATTGATATTAGTAGAGCTTAATTGGGGATGATATAAGAAACCATCTAAAATTTTAATTAAATTAGCACCGTTAATAAGTAAAGTTTATTGAAAATAATTTTAGAAAAATTTAATCCAAAAGCAATCGATAATGAGGAGGATAATCCACGAGTTTTAGACAAAATCATGTGCAAAAAAATTGATCGATGACAAATGGAAACAATTGTCATCATGGGATGGTAAATGGCCGTGTCCCGCTGGAATCTTGTCACTTTGAACTAAAGTGTGGATTTCAGTTACTACCATGGATTCAATGGCCAACTATGATTTATGAAAGAAGGGATGAAGGATGACTTTCGGGACGAATTTTTCTGCGACAATTATGGGAAGAAATCGACTCTCCAACACATCACATCAGATTGTAGAGCCTGACTTTCTTCTTCCTTAATGATAAGGCTTATATATAAAATAATTATTTTTTAAAAAATTTAAAAGGATATTAGATTTTATTGAGATAAAAGAAGAAATATAATCCTTATAATAATATAACTAATCAAAGAGAGAATTTTAAGAATAATGTTTATTAAAAAAATTCAAATATAAAATAATAACAAGAAGTCTACACACAATCGTAAATTAGATACAAACGACGTGAGAATCTCTATACGATTATATAGCTACCATTGAGGTAGGCAAATAACGCATCACAAAAACATAGTTAAAACGTGTAAAAAAAAACAGATAAATATGTGCAAAATATGTGAAAAGTAAAGAGTAAAACAAAAAATATTTTTATTAAAAATTAAAACAAAAGCTTAATAAGAACAACAACTCAAAGCAAGATACGAAAAAATAATAATAAAGATGAATACCGACGATTAATAATGAATATCAAAATTAATGTTATCGTCATCAAAATAAAAAAAAACCTTGCGACTAGTAGAGAAGAAAACTAGAAAATCCTATAACACATATAATTATTTTAATTAGTCAATATCTTATTAAAATCATAAATTAAATAAAATTTTATATTAAAATTATGATCATATAAGTTTTTAAGGTAAAAATTAGGATTAAAGAAATCTTAGGAATACAAAAATTTAAAATTGAAGTTGATAGTGCTGAAAAAATTAAAGTGATTCGACGTTTATACAATTTATGATTTCGAGGAGAATAAGAGATTCATGTCAAACCAATCAAAATGGAGTAAAATGTTATCGACGACACGTTGAATAAGTCAAATCAAATAAAAACTTATTTGATTACGATTTTTTAAATAAATATTCATCTCACATAAAATTTAGATAAAAATTGACTTATTTATCTATTGACACAATTAAAAATATATTTTATGTAGAATAATAATTAATTGTTTCGATTCTCCATTATGAATTAAATTTTAAAATTAATTTATTATTTTAATTAAATTATTTATTAATGCAAATATCAATTATCAATAAGACATATGATAGAAACTTTTAATTTCTTAATAAATATATAAAACAAATTGAACTGAATATTTTGATCTGAAATATATAAAAATATTTATTAACGGTTTATAAAAGGAACATCAAAGCCAGACTAATTTATTTTCCGAAAGAGACATTTAAAATTTGATGTTTAATTTAAGGACATCTTGCCTACTGGTTACTTAATAATTGTGAAGCCATGGCTCACAGTACAAAGGGTAAGCAAATAGATACTGAATCTGGGAAAAATTAAGTAAATTAATCAGTGTAACATTAAAAATTAAATCTCTTATTGTTCAATTTTCACAAAGTTTCTACAACTTAAAAACTTGAAAATTGTTCAGTTTCCCTTATGTACAACAGTGTCGAGGAGGAAGTTAATGACCAAAGCAAAACGCAGGCATGCCATGGCATCTCTGCAAGCTTGCAGATCAGTCGAGCAAAAAAAAAAAAAGATATACCTTCGAGCCACAAAGCCTACGTGAATATCGCGAAAAACAAAATGGATAGCCTCGGGAATTGGCAGCCGCAACAACCTCCTCCAATGTAGAATAGACAAAATCCATCTTTCCTCGGCATTCGAAAACCAAATGATATTTTTATAGACCATGAACTCATATTACCTCTCTGATAGGGTCATCAGGGACGATCGTCAAAATTGGGGTGCAATGACACTAGGGAGCAAGGACATTACTCTGTTAATGGCAGTCCTCTCTCGTGCTAGTATGCTTCTCTTTGGCACGGAAATCCTCCAACCGCCGATATTCTTCCCTCAGCAACCTATCCAGTTCGGGATGTTTCTTTATAGGTTCTTTCTGGTCTCTGAAGTGATGGAATGCCCTGCAATATATTGATAATTCTAAATTTAGAAAGATGGAATGGGAATACTAGTTCAAAAAGCAGCCTTAGATTTGTAAGCAAAAATTACAATATTCTTTCAACAAAAGAATCAAAGATTGTTTTATCTTCCACCCATCTAGGTTAACTTAATTCTACAAAGAAAATAATTTTAAAAAGGTAGCAAAGATAAGCATTCAAGGAAAAAGGAAATTACCAATATTTTTCGAGGCCATAAAGATTGCCCTTACGATAGAAATCAAGGGTAAGTTGCTCAAAATCCATGTAAAGATCATCACGATGTTTCTTCTCCAAACCGTAGCTGGAAAAAGAACTAGTCAGTACGTAAAGAAAACAAGTGAAAATGAACCAAAACTTCAGAAATGCAGCTTTGAACAGCCAAAAAATGCTTCTTCTTTTTAGCCATCAATGTTACCTGTAAAATCTGAAAAGACACTCTATCCCGTAATTGTAATTAGCAGCCGCGTCTTCAAGAGCAAGTTTTCGGAACTCATTATACATAGAAGGGACAAATATGTCCCTAAGGAAATATGACCAAAACCTGTATAGTGAATTCATTTCCTGTGCACAGAATTATTGGAAAAGTTATATTTATAATCCGCGGAGAAAAAAGAAAGAAACGTGTGCAAACAAATATGAAGCACTACAAATGCCATTCAGTTTACTAGACTATACATATATTTTAAGAGGATAAAAGCAATATTAACAGTAAAAAAGTTCAGTCAGAGTGATTTGATTTTCTTCTATTACAAATGGTCATAATGATGTAAAACATGGAAACAACCAAACAACTTGGTTCTTTTGTAACTGAGATACTTAGACATGTTAATCAATTAAACAACTTGGTTCTTTTGTAACTGAGATACTTAGACATGTTAATCAATTAAACAATAAAAGATGGCAATAATTCTTCATTTAAGGTTAAAACAATTATTTAATAGCTAAGGAAGTTCAGATATGAAGTTGACCTCACTGCAGCCAATTCCCAACTTCTTCCTGTCACTCAGGCAGCGCTTGTGGAACTTTAGGTACCTGAAAGTAAAAACAATTGAATTAGCCAGTTTCTTCACAAGTTCTCTTTCTCTTCATCCCCTCCAAGGAAGAGCAAGTGCACAAGAAGGGCTGAAGCACAAACCACATTTTCTTTTTTTCGTGCAACAAGAATCTCAAAGTATTATGTTATATGTGGAACATTGCAAACCAGCGAAAGTTTACACAAATACATACATATATTAGGGAGAAATCCAACATTCCTTACTTCTGTTGTTTAAAACCATTTTCTTCTAATAGCTGATGACTTGGATGCTGAAAAGGTGGGAATGACTTTGGCAAAGAACCGACCGGCGGACTGCTGGAAAGAGTCCCATGAGGTGAATAGCTCAACTTTGAAGTATGCCTAGGGCTGTAAAAATTGAAACTTCGACATCCATTAGCTCGGGAAATTTGTGGTAACTAGCCTATATTCTAGAACTCAAAAGCAATAGAAGTTACAAGTGAAACCGAACAAAAAGAACTTAAGGTCGTGAATTGTGAAAATTAAAATGACAAAATGGTCATTTAGAACTAACCCATGACTATCTGGAGGAGTGGTACCAAAGAAATATCCAACTGAATTACTTGGTGGACTTTCTGATATTATTGCAATAGAACTGCGACTAGTTCCATGATTCTTTATATTGCTGGAGAAAAATCTCTGCTTATGGAATGATTGTTGCTTGGAGAAGCCTTTATTTTGCTTCCTTCGCGAACTTGACCCTCCAGATTCTTCAAGAGTACTGCTCCCAGAAGCATTTATAACCGTCTTAAGATTTGATACTCCCAATGCACCCCTTGGAGACCTTGGATTTCCGTCTTTATTCTCATAAGTAGAATTATTCTTTCTACAATTAGATCGTTTAGTTTTCAGCTCCTGCTTGCAATGAAACACCAAAGGAGAAATTATTAATATGTACCATAACAAAACTTGAAACGAATTAGAAAAGGTAGTGCCTCAACCTGTTCATAGAAATAGAGGCCATCATTTATCACAGCAGCAAGCTCACTGGATATGGCCTTTGAGTCCTTTGCACCAGCTTTTGATCCTTCTGCTGTCCCAGTATTCTGCACATCAAAAGAAAGGATATGTTCCATCAAGACGGAACCGAAACCATTCTACCATTTAATACAAGTAAGATATTACCAAACAAAAATGCATGTTTACAGGCATAACCTCAATCAGAGAGGACATGCCAATCTCAATTAAGCACTAAAATATGTGGAAGAAATTGGGAGGAAAGGGATGCAAGAGAGGAGTTAAGTAGAGTAGATTCTAATCCACACAAAAATTTCTCTAAGTTCTAAATCATTGCTGATGTGAAAAAAGGTTATCCAAGTTTCACTTGAGTGAACAATGTCCCTCTTGAATCAAGTTTAAAATGATTCAACTTCACAAAACGGAAGCAATACATTATTCATCCATATGCTTCAAAAGTTCAATGCATATAAAAAACGATTTAGGAGG